TCCAATACGGAGCAAAGCAGCACATGACCTACTCACATCACGATAGAACCCCGCAGACTGTTGGTTCCCACCACCCACTGAGCCAGAGAGTCACTCCGACGAACATCCGTTATCACCGACAGGCAACACAGACGTCCTGAACCGAGCAACCCCCATAAGAGTGCAATAGGCACTCCAAACGAGGAACCACCGACTGTTTGGCATTACTTAAAGGTGCTCAGTTGGATACACAAAAAGACAAAAAAAATCATGGGGGGGACATACAACAGAAGAAGGACCAATGGACATAAAACTGATTGTGTGTGTATGTGTGTGTGTGTGTGTGTGTGTGTGTGTGTGTGTGTGTGTGAGAGAGAGAGAGAGAGAGAGAGAGAGAGAGAGCAGGGCAGAAAGATCCTCTCCGGGGAAAGGCCGAGAGTGTCAACAACAGCCACAGGGGCATGCTGGAAAGATGCTCGGTACCGGTAGGGGCATATGGGAAATGTTTCTGCTGGTTCTCAACGGCTATCCGGTAGGGGCATACTGGAAATTTGGGAAAGGCCCGGTAGGGGCATATGAAACATGTTTCTGGCCCAAACGACACCAGGAGTTTTCTGGAAACATCATTCGTTGTCAGAGGGGCGTGACAGGGTAAGTTGGCCGTCAGAGGGGCATGCCACAAATTAATTGAAATTTCAGGGGCATCTCAAAAATTTCCCCTCATAGTTTTCAACGTCTCCTTTAATTCTCTTGAATTTCTCCAATAGTTCTCAGATTGATTATCAACCGAAGCCGGGATGGCCCCGGTATCTCAAATGACTTGTGTAACTCTATATGGGACGCTGGGCCCGGTTCCCAGCACGTGCTGCTCCCCGCGATAGATTGGAGCATTTGTCCCCCCCCCCAAAAAAAAGGGTTACAGGTCAGCGCAACCAAGCCTCTTTTCCCTCTGTACTGTGTGATAGAAATGCGTTTTGTTGGTAATGACCCCGACAATATGACCTGTAATGTTTTCATATGAGATGTCGGGCCTGGTTCCCAGCACTTGCTGCTCCTCACGAATAGATTGGAACAAAAAATGAAAAAGAAATGTATTTTGTAACTTTGCAGATACTCAGAGGAGCTGGTGTGTTTGTGACACCTGAGTCTGCTGACAGTGACAGGCATTTGTGACTACCTGGCTTCATATTGACAGCATGAGCAGTCAAATGTTTTTTTATTTTGGGGGGGGGGTAACTAGGGCGCAGTCACGAAAGCAGTTTGTAAATGCATTTTGAACTGCGTCTTTGGAGTCCAGTACTGTCCCAAGTTTCAACTGCATTCAAAACTCTTGACATGCACAAATGTTGCAAGGCCGAGTTTGCAACTGCAATCCAGTCTAGAATGTGGCGTTTTTTTTTTTTTTTTTAATCTCGGTCGTGGCCTAGGCATCGCGGCCATGTATGCTTATGTAGCAACACGAAAGTGCGACCATCCAAAATAACTCAAGTCAGACCACGTAACATAAAGAAAGAAAATGGAAGAAAAGAGACAAGATACAGAAAGAGAAAGAAAAACCATAGATAAAGACCCAACGTAGAATGATAACTCCCGAACGTAACTCATAAAATTAAAACATGAAATACAAATGAGTACGTTCACCGTGGCGTGATCTGACCGGTTTCGGCTGGTCGCCACACCAACTCTCATCAGGGATCTTGAGCAGTCGTAGCTCTGATTTATTCTACGTGAGCTAGGTCCTAGTTCAAGTAAAGCCCCTATAGCTGAAGACAAGTCGGAAAAGAGGACCGTAACTCAAAAGAAACCTACAATTGGTAACCTAAAAAAAACCGCCGACAGTTCAAAATCCGATCGGAACCAAACACCCTACCAAAAATCTTTGGTCAACGCTTCATCAAAAATCTTTACTATCACGCTGATGGTCCGAGTTCGAAGCTCAACACAACATTTATCAGAAAAGATCCTGTATTCTACTGCTACTTCGACTACTTCCTAAAGGTCGAGAAACAGTCTAAAAACCGGGCCAAAAACGGACCGACAAGTGATAAAACAAGGCCCCCGCACGGGGCTTTTCCCCTATTGTAGATGTCAATTGCTGCTTCTACACGTCAATTGCCGTGAAGCCTTGTCCCATCCGGTTAACACTGGTATCCATTGTTGCCACAACCCAACAAATTTCCTCGAAAAATTAATCAAGGAATTATAAAAAAAATGATAAGGATAGCTGCGTCTCCACAACTCAACTTTCAAAGTAAAAAGAAAGGGAAATTATGTACCGGGAGTAGTTGTAAACGTCCTAGTCCTATGCAGAAAGGAGCCAATTACAACTATTTTCTAATGTTTACTGGAATACGAACTGAAATCTTGAATGTTTTGAAAAACGGGTTTGCTCTACTTCCACAAACGCTGATTCTTATGCATCGGGATACAGGCCACGCCCCCTTCATCATCAAACACTTTGACAACACAGTCAATAAAATCCCAAGTTTAACCGTCGTTCGTCTGTTCTAACATCAGATTACTGTGATAGCATTTCGAAAAACGATCTATCAACTTAATACCATCAACAACATTCAATGCCTCTGACTTGTTACAAATAACAAAAGTGGAGACATCATCTACCAAATGACACCATGAATTTTTGGTCGCACGGAGTCAAGGGAGGACAAAAACAGAAATTCGTGAAAAGCACAGAGTAGACACGCTAGAGCCGGGCTGGATGATTTGCCCATTGGTATTCCGATGTTTTGCTGTAGAATAATTCCACCAACCTTGATAAAAGTCTGTTGTAGTTCAAAAACAACAAAATCCTTGATTGTGCTGAAAGGAATTGAAACCCAACCTCCTTCCTTCTTACCTCGCAACAGTTTAGCTTGTTTACCTCTGATAGATACAGCCACCGCTTTGTATCCTTGTCCCATCCAGAAGTCACACACCCACTGTACTGCATTGATGATAGAGGAGTGCAACAATTGGAAAACATTTCCTTGATATCAAAGGAAGCTCCCAGAATGAAATCATCCTTCTTCATCTGCTTGTTTAGTCTAGAGATAGAAGTCATAAGACTGGACGTAGCTCTCAGATTGAAGTGGAGTGAGGGAGGAAGAGACCACAGTAAGCAATTGATCGCGCTGGAAATCCGAGTCCTTCATGAACCCACGACAGAGCATTCAGAAAAGGATGGACATATCGGTCGCCACCGCGATACGTCTTTATGCTTTGGGACACAATAGGCATTACCGAGGGAGCCTTTCGGATTCCATTTTCCCACAAGCGCTAAGTTCTTATCCTTGTACTGCTTCTTGCAGTCTAGTAGAATTGAATCTTCATCCTGAGTAGAAATAGAAAAGGAGGAATTCACAATAAATAGTTTATTTAACCCTGACCTATAGATCATCGGGCAGCAAACATAGGAGTTTCCGACATTATGATTCAAAGGAGAAAAGATTAGGCCATCAAAGCGAGAAAGTTGTCGTCGAACGTCATAACCTTGATCAGGAGCAGAAGCGGGAAAGAGATTGAAACAATTGGAGATCTCATCGTCACTTAAGGTCTTTGGAGGAAGAGATGGAATGCAAGAGAGAGATTGGAAAGACTTCAAGATTTGCTTGAGTAAAGATAAAATAGACGAGGAAAAAGATTGCGATGGATTAATAATATTACGAGAGTTGGAAAAGATCGAGGAGAAGAAATCAACTTCACTGATACGAAAAACCACATGCCCATCTCTCCTTGGAACATCATCATCATATTTGGTACACTGACATGTGGCATCTGACTTTCGAGATTCTGCTCTAAAATTGTAACAAATATCCCCTACAGTCTCGTTACGACACCATACCACACGAATTCGTCGAATCAAAGAATCTTTCCAAGCCGCGCTAATATCGAGGGATTTAATCGCCTTCACACATAAACTTCGTGTTTTGGATTTATTAATGGAAACATTATACTTAATACGAACTACCAATCTCTGCCTCAGCTGAACATTGAAACGTCGTCTCGCATAATTAGAAAGAATACATCGCAGTCGAAATCTTGTTCGTTTCTCCGAAAAACTCTGAATTGCTATAAACGCATATACCAACTGATCTAAACTCCATGTTCGAAGGGCGGATCACGACGACGGATCTCTCAGAAAACCAGCTAGCAGAGCTTTAAAAACAAAAGAACGTTTCATGAAACAATTGACTGTAGAAAACTCCAATGACACACCTTCTTTCAACCATGCCTTCGACTTCCTTAATTGAGAAGTACCGTACGTACAAGAGATAGTAGATGCCCCGAAACACCGTTTTAACACCTTCCATGAATCGCAAAGGATGTCACTGCTCCTACAAGTTATCACGCAACTACCAATGTCACAGTCAACGCAATCCCACAATATCCTTAAGAGGTTGCTGGATACTACCCCCATACTACTATGGAACACAAGGAGCGATCTACCCTTCACGATATCCCCCTTCGTTACCTCATTCTCAACACAGTGACTACGTCGTTTCCGACGTAAACGCTCACGTAATCCAAGACGATTCCTCTTGTGTTTACGAGGTTTATCACGAACATTTAAAACAGAGGAGAAAGTTCTGATGAAGAATCTTTCACAACTCAATAAATCCTCATCTTGACATTGACATAACGGAATAGGAACGTAAGAGTCTGCACCACTCCTCCTTAACCACTGATAAAGTTTTTCATTTCGTCTACCTTTCTCTCTCACATCAGCACTCGTAGCTCTATAGACGTGTTCGCTCCATCGAGTAAAGAGATCGCGATAAGTACTACCTACGTATGTGTGTCTGCACCATGGAGAAATCAAAACGTAGACCAACGGACCCTTACAAACATCAAAGTCAAACCCATCATCAATCATCCTCTCCGTGTATCTGGAATATTTCTCGGCCTATGGAATCTGTCGAGCAATAACCAATAAAATCACTACGAGACAGAACAAAGTGTTCAACGTTTTATAACGAAGGAGATCAGTAGAAATAGCACGGATACGTCGACATCTTCTTGCAAGATCCCAAAGATAAGTTACGCTCGGGAAAGCAGCTAAGAGTTACCTTCATCATCGCCACCCTTCGCAATATCGATGCTGGTGCCAGTGTCTTCCGAGACTTCTTGAATTGTAGCTTGCTTCGATGCTGATTCAAACGCTTTAGCCGCTCGATGAGTCGCAATTGCTTCTTTCGTTCTCTCCAGTGCAGTATACACCACACCTTCTTGAGCGCAAATAGCCTTCACTCCATCCATGTTCATCTTCCTCAAGGCCTTGCGCGCATCCGCCATGAAGCCTTCTTTGTCATTGGCGCGCACAACTTGTTTGCTCGAAGACGCAGGTCGTTTCCCTTTGTCTACGCGTTGATTGTTAGCAACTTTGTCAAGCTTGGTCTTCAAATTGCTCTTCGTCTTCTCCATGTTAGCGCGGTCAAGTTCAGCTTTCAACCTTTCGATCTCCAACTCCGCTGCCTGTTTTCCTTCTTTCACACGTTCTAGTTTTTGTTCCGCAACCCTCCTGCCATTCAAATCTCTGCTTCTCAATTCCTTCAAAAATTCAACCTCCTTTCGATGAACATCAATCAATTCTCCCGCCTCTGCATCGCATAATGTTGCTGTTGCCGGTGTTTTCGATGGTGTGCATCGAGGTCGAACTCTCGTCCGCACACTGGGCGCTTCTTCCAATATGATACTACCGCGCTTGTTTCCCGGACGCATTGCTTGTTCCTTCCAAGTAGCAGCCTTTGTGGTTGTGTGCTCATGTAGGCGCCGAAGAATGGCAACCTGTTCATCGAGTGCTGCAACCTTACGATCAGCCTCCTCTTGTGATCGTCTTTTAAAGTCTTCCAGTTCCCTTAATCGTTTAGCAGTGCCGTCTTCCGGAATAGCACTGCTGCAAGAAGGTTGATCTGCCAGTCTTATCTTTTGTAACTTCTTGATTTCGGCCTGCAACTTCGCAATAACACCACTATCTTCCTTACTGTTCTTCTTCTCCAACGCCTCGTGTACCTTCACAAATTTCTCGTTCATTTCGTCAACAATTTTTCTGTGAAGATTCTCTCGCTCCTTTCTATCCTCCGCCCGTCTTTTCTCTTCTTCCATTTCCCTCTTCTTACGTTCGTCTTCCTCAATCTTCTTCTTCTCACGCTCCTCCTCTGTATCATGCTTTTCTTTGATCTTCGAAACTGTATCCTCCAAAGTACTCAAACGTTGGTTAGTATAATGTCACCCTCCTCCTCTGGAATAGCCTCCCAAATATGACGTAACATGATGACTAGGCGCAGAAAGCAAAGGTGCTTGGACAGGTATAATAGCTGAGTTAGGATTGGACACTTGGCCTCGAGGCGGCAAATTGCAGAACCGAGCAAAGTGCCCGAGTTGCCCAAAGTTGTAGCAAGCCCTTCCGGCCATAGGTGCATTGGCAGCCATCCTTGATGCCTCCGGTGGTCGATACAGATTGCAGATAAGAAGCCGAAGCCACGCAGTGATAGTATCACCTCTATCCCAGTTACTTCGAGTATAAAAGTATGCTGATGTAGCAACACGAAAGTGCGACCATCCAAAGTAACTCAAGTCAGACCACGAAAGCACATAAAGAAAGAAAAGGGAAGAGAAAAAACAAGATACAGAAAGAGAAAGAGAAACCATAGACAGAGACCCAACATACAATGATAACTCCCGAACGTAACTCATAAAATTAAAACATGAAATACAAATGAGTACGTTTACCGTGGCGTGATCCGACCGGTTTCGGCTCGTCGCCACACCAGCTCTCATTAGGGATCTTGTCGGTAGGGAATGAGCAGTAGTAGCTCTGATTTATTTTACGTGAGCTAGGTCCTAGTTCAAGTAAAGCCCCTATAGCTGAAGACAAGTCGGAAAAGAGGACCGTAACTCAAAAGAAACCTACAATTGGTAACCTAAAAAAAACCGCCGACAGTTCAAAATCCGATCGGAACCAAACACCCTACCAAAAATCTTTGGTCAACGCTTCATCAAAAATCTTTACTATCACGCTGATGGTCCGAGTTCGAAGCTCAACACAACATTTATCAGAAAAGATCCTGTATTCTACTGCTACTTCGACTACTTCCTAAAGGTCCAGAAACAGATAAAAACCGGGCCAAAAAAGGACCGACAAGTGACAAAACAAGGCCCCCGCATGGGGCTTTTCCCCTATTGTAGTCACTCGACGAGATGCTCACTCTCTTTCTTTTTTCTTTTTATCTCATATGTGGCCGAGGCATTGCGGCCGTGGCCAGCCATGCGACGAGGCTGAGATTGGGGGGAAAAAAAAGAAAAAAAAAAAAGAAAAAAAAAGAGAAGAAGGAGGGCCTTGCTCCACTATTCTTGACATGCACAAAAGACAAAAATCAGTGCGCTGTATCTTTACATGTTCTAGCGGAAGATTCACTCTTGTTTTGCACATTTCGAGAGTAGTGGAGCGAGGGGGGGCCCACTACTCTCGAAATGTGCAAAATGAGAGTGAATCTTCCGCTAGAATATGGAAAGATGCACGGCCACGAGACCCCAAGGCTGACACGCATGGGTCGGGAACTCTGAGAAGGAAAAACAAAAGAGAAAAAAAAAAGAATTGAAACTGGGTCGTTGTCAGCACGTGTATCCCCTAGGGCCTCTGCGTTGTTGTCAGCCCGTGTATCTCGTTGGGCCCCTGTATCCTCGTCACACCAAAGACAAAAATCATGGCGCTGTATCTTTCCATGTTCTAGCGAAGATTCACTCTCATTTTGCACATTTCGAGACGTGGAGACTTAGAGTGAATCTTCCACTAGAACATGAAAAGATACAGCGCCATGATCTTCTCTTTTTTTTTTTTTTTTTCTTTTTTTTTTTTTGGAAAACGGCCTACCCTTCTGACGTGGATGACAAGACTGCAGTTACAAACTCTTCCCTGAGACAGCCATGCGGCCGAGGAGTTTGGCGTGCAGTGTAAACTTTAGAGGGGACTGGACTCCAAAACGGGCGTTTGAAATGTATTTTCAAACTCTAACCCTGACCGCGCCCTAGTTTTCTCTTTTTTTTTGATACATCATCCTCTAGTAGTACACCCTTGTCCTCAGCTCCAGTCTATTGGTGGGGAGCAACACCTGTTGGAAACCGGATGCAACTTCTCGTAACAGAATCAGGTAGTATAAATAAAGGTCCAGGGTGTAGTAGAAGGTGGTGGCCAGGCCTCAGAAGGTGCTCGTAGTACTCATCCATTGGGAGGTCAGAGAGACAGCAACGACCCAGGGGGAGTCACCTCAGGATGGAACCATTGTTATGAACTTGGTTGTTTGACGATTTTCACCGCCACTCACACACAAACAATCTCATACACAACCATACATGCATAAGACGAGGGGGAGAGGAGACAGAGTTCAAACTGCACACAGATCAAAGTAAGCAGTGAAACACAACCATGCACAGATAGGGAGATTCACATAGTATTTCTCACTCTTTGATAATACTCCCAACAACCAATCACAAGAAGACACCTGCGAGGATAACAATAGGATTTACACTCATGATGAGCCAACTCGAACCAATTATCATTTCAAAGTTTGTTTCAGTATCTTGCCACCCTCAGAAGTCCACACTCTACTCTCTACCCTACACCCAGTTAGTAGCACAACACTAAGAAGGCCTCCCAGAGGCCAGCGCCAACCGCCCAGATGAGGAACAGGTCCCGGGATGAAGTCTTCAGTGCCGATGAACAACTCTGACGAGGAAACAAGCACCTATGGCTGCCGCACCATTGACACAACCTTAATATCTCCAGATGCGAGATGGGCGGCAGTGGTCCACCCACGAGTACCCAGTGAAGAGCCTCGGTCTAGCCCAACCAGACGCAGATACCCCCAGGGGGAGATGCGTTGTGGATGCCCCAGCTATGGCAACCTCCAGAAGGCTTGCTACGACTGCCGTCCACGGCGAGGGTCTTAGGATGCCGCCTGTAGACAATCACCACCACCAACTTACTTGGCTCACAACGCTGCATTGTGAAAATGAAAAGCCAAAAGTCCCTAAACTACAGGCTCAGTCCTATTAATAGACTAGCCTACTCTAGACCTAGACCTATTGGACCGGTACCACATCAGTTTGGCCTGCTCGGCCTGGGCCCTACCCGGCTATACGACGTCTAGACCGTCTCTACAGCCCAAGGCCCAGATGGGCCTGCTGTCCTAGTGATAGTCCGGGTCTGCTAAGGGCCGTAACGGGCTAAGGGAACTCCGGGCCTAAAATTTTCGTGTAAATTGCAGATATATCCCTCACGAATTTCCCTCAGGACTGGACCAGCGGTTAGTCCCTGACACAAACGAAATTACCGAATCTGACCCTAAGACACAACTATACAACCTCGTAGTCAGACCTCGGCAGCAGAAATCAGCAAGTTATTGCAGGCTTACCCTCCCGGGGAGCGAGGACCTCCGAGCTAAGGGTGCAGACGAGGAGATCGGCAAGGAAGGTTCCCTTTCTGAGCCGCCTCGTAACAAAGTACTCCAAACTTTGCTGTCTTGAGAAGTTCTTTCCTGGTGAACCACCTGTCCTCGGTATGATGCTGGAAATAGAACTTCACAAGATATTGTCGGTCGGGGTCAGTGCCCCACATCCTCGATGGACTCCACGTCGTAGCCCTTGTCAGGGATCGGTGGACCAAACTGAGGGGGCCGGTCTGGGAATGCATCAGTTGGAATGAAGGGAAGCAGCTTGGATGCATGGAAGACCAGATAGGTCTGTAGGTGCAGTGGGACGTCGATAACGTACGACGGGCCGAAAGGATCGGAGCCCACTGTATCTAACACCTGCCACGGACCCAGGTATCGTGGCAACAGCTTGGGAGAGATATCCTCTTCCCTCGACAACTCTGAACTGACTACCCAGACGTAATCGCCAGTACGAATGGGGGAAGGACGTCGGTGGGGATTAGCTTGTTCAATCATGGTCTTTTGAGCCTTGAACAAGTTCGCCCGTACCCTTTCCACGTTAGCTATATAGCGCCTGATAGACTCCGCAGTGCCAGGAGTCAAATCAGACTTAGCCTTATTGATGATGTCATCAAGATGCTGTCGTGACTCACGTTGTCGGCGCGAATACCCTTACAAGGGTATCCGCCCTGTTTTTTGCAAGTGATAGAGATTAAGTTTGAGTTGGAATTTTGAGCAGACTACGTGAGTTGTAGCAGTCTATCGACTGGAAGTTTGACTAGAATGTCTAGAAGCAGAGAGTGAGTGGGCGCGCGAGTTTAAGGCGCGCGTGATTTTTTTTATCTTGTTAAGGACCGAAGGGTCGGCGTGATCGCCGTCCGGAACCTTTTTCTACTGGTTACTTATCGTCTGATTAAGCTAGGATTATAAAAAAAAAAATTCTCTTTGCTTGGCGTGCTTGCTGGTGACTTGTGCGTACGTGCGGAGGACGACATCGACGACAATGTGACTTCTGAAGGCGTTTCAGGAGTTTGGCGCGTCACGCAATACCCGTTTATTCAGGCGTCCGCCAGAGCTAGACGCAGACTTGGGCCTAGCGCCATTCATTTGTGGTGTCGGACTTTTGTCGGGGAGATTCAGGGATCGAGGACGAGCGGCGACAACGCGGGAATATCAGAGTGGCACGAAATCACCGAGGGGTTGAGGGCCTTGCGGGGCTATCCCCCTTGGTTTTGCTGTCAGTGGCATGAGGGCGGGGGGTTATCCCCGTTGGGTCTGTCGTCAGCAGCGTCCGACCGGTGGTGGCGTTTTCTAAACATTTCATTTTAGTGTTGTATTTTTACTTAGTTTTTTGGGCACTCCGGCGCGCCGCTGACCTGGATGCGACGCCGGGCTTAATGATCGTCACCGCGGTCGGGGGCCTTGAGTGCGTGCCCCACCCGACGGGTCCGCGGGTTCCGGTTGCTGGCAAGAATCCGCCACCTCGCCGCAGCAAGGGAAGCTACGGCGCGGTCAAAGTTTGAGTTGCAGTTGCCCGTGAGGCCGGAGGGCCGGTAATGCTGAATGTATATGACCTACGTGTCGGGTCAGGTGAGGTCGCGTGGGATGGATTGTATTTGCGGGATTGACAGAAGTGCAATTACAAACTGGTTCCGTAGCAGCGCCGAGGTTACCCCTTTTCAGTACTGCGGGAAACCCCATAGCAGCCACACCCGTGCTCAAACCTCCACCGAGGGAACATGCGGGGAGTGCAGTCACCAGCAGGTGTAACGCCTGGTGTAGTAGGTGCGCGGTACCGGCCAAGGGTCAGCCGGTGGGGTTGGGACTGAGTTTTTTTGATGGACTTACGGAGGGGAGGACTTGGATGACGAAACCTCTTCCGCAGGGGCACCGTCCGTCCCCGTCGTCGACGGCGGAGAGGTTGGGCATATCCGCGCCGACAGGGGTCCTGCTATGGGGTCTGTAGCAGGGGTCGCGCCCCGACTATGGGCAATCTGTGTAGGGGTTGCCGATTGGGGACCCGAAGGGTGGTTTGCTCGACTTGAGCTGAGCGGGGGAGGCTCCTTGT